TTAAAAACAACCTTCTCCAAAAGCTATCAAGGAATATACCGAATACTTGTTTTAGAACTTTATTACATATTTTTATATAAATAGTTTGAATGATCCATAATTGACAGAAGCTTGTGTTTACACTGACCTGTTATATTAATGTCTTTGTAACTTCAGTAAACCACTACCTCACTCATTTCACTTTCATTCATCACGGTTCAGTAAACTAAGTGATACATGAACCAGTTTAATCATTATAATAACGTAGGATTGCAACTCTTTGAAAATGTATGTGGCTCTTAAAAGAGCTGTTGTGTTTGGGTGTGCTGGTCTCAGGTCAGTCTAAGCCCTCTCTCCGCGGATGCGGCGGGACAGCTGGATGTCCTTGGGCATGATGGGGACCCTCTTTGCTTGGTTCATCTTACTGGGGGGCAGCTACATGGATGTCGGTGCAGTCCACAATCATTGCGCAGTTGAAGGCAGAATGAATTTATTATTGACTCCGAATGAAGCACAACTTCATGTCATACAATACAATGACTTTATTTGTAATTGTGTAAAAAAATATGAGCATTGATTAGCAAGCAGGACCTGCAGGAACAGAGAATGGTGATGGATGGAGCTGGGAAGAGAGAAGAATAAAGAAAACAGATCAACTTTATTATCGGATATTAAAAATTCAATTTCAAAACAAGTTGCCGCTCCTACAGTTTTCTAGTATGTAAAGATGATTTCACATGACCTATGCAAAATATCACACTCAATACATGTGTGTCTCTGGGGGGTGCATTGTGCCTTTGATGTATATAAATAATATACCATAACCAAATACTATTACGTACAGTGGAAATCAGGTTGCCAGAGCAGGTCAGTGTGCATGTTCCTCAACGTCTCAGCAGTTACAGGTGAGGTAAAGAAAATAAAAGAGAAAAAGGTCAGTAACAACACTTTAAAGTAACAACACTTTGAATAATTATCTCTTCTAACAATTTTCTCTCAATAAGCACACAACGACTGTCTTTCCAACAAACAGATTGTCATCACAATGAAACACGTCCAGAAGAATGTCATGCAAAGCTCCATGCCTGCCTTCGACTCTCCCTGAACTGCTTCCTTAGCACCCGGTGGAGGGCGCAGTAGGCTACTCTTCAAAAGTTTCACGAAATACTTACCATCATGTTTGGTTACTGTTTAACATTTTGGTTTACTTCATGTAATAAAATAATAACTTCATGGTAAGGCTACTAAAAATGACAAGGCTAAGTAATGTAATGCTAACTAACGTGCTCGCTACTCGTCGCTACTAGCTAGGTAGCTAACTTGACTATGTTCCATGCACAACATGTATATTACCTATGATATTACCTGATATGTCTGATCCAGCGACTCCTGGTCCTTTCATCAGACGGGAATCGATAGAAGGAGCAAGTGGTATGATCACTTTTATGACTACAACCTGGTACAAAGCACACAGGCATCTTGTAAAAGTCAATTTATTTTTAGCGATCTATAATTTATTGGAGGGAATAAATCAGTTATGAGATCTTCTTCTTCTTCGCTTTAATTACGAGTCTTATTATAAATCACCGAGCATGCCTGTGACATCACTTACGCGACCCAGAATGGGATTTGGGATTTGTAGTCTTTGTAGTAGCGTATTTTTCATAGTCTTATATTTCAGCAGTTTTACGACAAAATGTGACTTTTTTGACATGGAAATGATTGTTTAAGATTGACAAACATCATATGTGTAGTTCGTGGCACAATTCAAACGGGATCAAAAGATACGTGTTCTCTCTCCATTGAATTCAATGTACATTTTTCGCTTCCGGGGTCCCATGGTCCGGAAGTAGATGGGCGTGACTTCGCCTCTCCATAGCTTGGTTACACTTGACGTCACACCGCTGCGTTCCTTTGGCGCGAAATTCCATTGGAGGTCAGGAAGTAATTTTCTACAGAGGATCTAGCTGCTGTTACCATGAGGTATTAGCTAACTTGGTTTTTGTGGCTTTGTTTATGTATTATTGGGTTGTGGTTAAATGCTTATTTACCTAGTAATACTGATCATGTTTAAGTTACCTGTAGTCTAATATGGACTTTGTTGGGACTTTTTAGGGTGCCCTAGCGCTTTGGGTGACGTTGAGTCGGTAGACTGGGCTCCCACTGTTAGCCTCGGTTACCACACAACAAGTAAGCCCAGATCAGAGGCATCTCTTCGACGAGAGCAGAGGATGGAGCTCAAGGAAGACCAACAAAGACAATCAGAATGTGCAGAGTAGGGATGTGCATCTCCATCACTGAGGCCGATGCGATGCGCATCTCGATACGTTGCCACAATACGATACATTAACAATACATTTGAAAGACCAGGCGATGCGATACGATACGATTCACCCCTGTTGCGATACAGTTCGATACGATTTGATTCAACATTATGCGATTCGATACGATTCAACACGATGCAAAAATAATGATACTTCAATATGGTACGACAGAGGATTTTTGTTTTATTCCTTATATGCAGCAAATCATACATTAACAAAAAAGTGCTTTACATATTTGGTACTGCACATCCCATCATGCAGTTTATTTTTTTACCTTTAAAAGCTCTCCAGAGTACAATTCACCTCACAGTCCACATCCAACAATGTAAGGATGCATTGCTCATGACTAACAATGTGAAAATAACAGCTACCATAGTGCAATGCCCATACAGCTGCCAGCCTGATGTGCTTAACACTCATTCATAGGCTAACTCACCAGTGAGCAGAAAGCAGTGGGTTCTATATGAACAATAAATAATACAAATAACTCTTTCATAACTGCTTACAGTGAGGAAGACATGTAAACTGTTATTGGCCGTCACAGGCTGCTGTACACTAAACACCACTCTCTCTGACAGAACACCTCACTGAGTGATTTAACTCATATGTCTAACTTTCAGGTTTCTCTTTTCAGCCGCAGACCCCATGTCGCCTCTTTATGTGCGTCGCTAAGTTCCTCGTACTACTTGTGTACTTTAAAGCGGCTCGGCATCGTTAACAATTTGCGAGCGATTTTTCAAGTTGACCGTCTGTAGTATATAGTGCCACGCACATATACCATCAGGACGTTACTGATGGGGTGCGGCTGCGGAGTGATACTGTGTGTATGCAAGTCCGCATCTAGGACGGATCTATGTATCATGGCTGTAGACCTGTTAAGTAATAAAGATACCTCATACAAAGGTCTACGGACACCTTATTACTCTCCATGACCTGCGGTCAACTATATAGCATAAAGGACTGACACCGTCTTTCTTGAACAATCCGAAGTGTTGCCAAAACGTTTGATTTGTAGGTATTTTTTGGTGCGCTGTGTTTCTCTTTCTTCTCAACTTCCGTGTGTGTTGATAACTGAGGGCCTCCGTAGTGGCGAAGCAAATATCAAAGATCGTCTCTGCTGAGCGTTGACAAGATGAGGGGATTTTATATGAATGAATCGGTTTTTTACCGATGCAAAGACGCTACGCAATCGATGCATCGCGAGTTCAACCCGGTTCAACCCAAACTGTAGCCGATGTGCACTCTTTCAACCGGTGCACTCGCATCTTGAACGTTTATGCCGGTGCACCGATGCGAATCGGTGAATCTTAACATCTCTAGTGCAGAGGCTTTGTTGGATCTCCTGCAGACAACCGAGAGCCCAGAACCAGAGGACACCAGTGGGATATTAAATGACCAACAAGGTAAATTAACCACCAGCATTATTATTAAATATTACAAATGTGATTGTCAGAAAATCAATGCAAACTTTGAATTAGGTTTAGAAAATAGAGTACTAACTTGAGAATCTGCAATAATTGGAACAGATAACTTGCATGTCTGTAAAAAGGTTGTCAAAAAGATAACTTCACAACAATTCACATTCACATTTGACTATTTTAAATAACTAATTATGCTTGCTACTGCTATATTTTATGCAGATGCAGGATGCCAGACTGATTTAACGATGGAGGACATTGAGAGGATGGAGGATGTTCTGAGACAGAACACAACAGAGCTGGGAGATCTTCGGACAAAGGCACTGGACACAAAGTTCAACCAGGAGTCCTTTGAGAACAACGAAGAGAAGACAAAGTTTTACACCGGGCTCCCCAACTTCTTAGTTTTACTTCAGGTTTTTCAACTGTGCGAGCCCTACATCACCTGTGGCCCTATGTCTGTGCTCTCCAAATTTGAACAGTTCATTTTAGTTTTGCTGAGGCTGAGACTAAATCTCCCTCTGAAAGATTTGGCTTTCAGGTTCAACATCTCTCTCCACTGCTTCTAGAATTTGGCATAAGTTAATTGACATACTTCACGAGAGTACAGAATTTATAATTGAGTGGCCAGAGCGACATGTACTTCAAGCTACAATGCCAATGGGATTCAGACAGGCATTTGGATGTAGAGTTGCTGTGATTGTTGACTGTTTTGAAGTTTTTATTGAGAGGCCCTCTAATTTACTAGCTAGAGCACAAACATGGTCCAACTACAAGCATCACCATACTGTTACATTTCTGATTGGTGTTGCTCCCCAAGGCTATGTCACTTACATATCTTGTGCCTGGGGAGGAAGAGTTAGTGATAAACAGATCACAATACAGAGTGGGCTCCTAAAAAACCTGTTACCTGGAGATATTGTCCTAGCAGACCGTGGGTTCGATATTGGCGATAGTGTGGGATTTTACTGTGCTTCACTAAAGATGCCTGCATTCACCAGGGGGAAAAGTCAGCCGTCAGCATACGAGGTGGAAGAGACAAGAAAAATAGCTAATGTGCGTATTCATGTCGAAAGAGTCATAGGATTAGTCAGAAGAAAATATCAGATTCTGCAAAGCAGGGCTGTGCCCATAGAGCACATGCTAACAAAACCAGGTGAGGCACTAGCATTAATTGACAAGATTGGGGTTATTTGCTGTGCCTTGTCTAATCTGTCAGTGTCTGTCGTCCCATTGGAGTAAAGTCATGGAGCTGTAGTCTTGTAAATAAGAAACCATGTATTATTCAGTATCATTTAATCTTTTCAGTAAACATCTTTTTGTGTGTTGTAAATTGTGTAGCCCTACTCAATATACAACTTTCATCTACATTCAGGCTTAATTCATTCAACAATATTCTAGAGATGACAATTGGTCTGGTGACGTTCCCATGTATGGCCATTGAGGGTTATTGTAAATGTAAATAAGAAACTATGTATTATTCAGTCTTCTTAGTATCATTTAATCTTTTCAGTAAACATCTTTTTTACAATAGCAATATATCACACAGCCCTACTTCCTCTAGTGAGTGTGGTCAGTGAATATGAAGGTGCTGTAATGCAGGTTAAAGAGCAGCCACTGTGCAAATAATAATGCAACAAGGAGAGAACCACAACTTCCGGGACCAGGACAGACCACAGGTGCTGGTAATCACGTCTTCTCTCCCTCCTGATCATCTTGCAACTGAAACTGAAAAATGGAACAGCAGACAGGGAGAGGAGGCTTTTAGTCACCTGATAGTTATGCACTATCATGTTCTTGTGGAAAAAAAATGAGCACACCAACTCTTTATTACTTTTACCTTTCCCCTTGTAAGTTGCTGTCCCAACACTTCAGGGAGAACACATAGTCTGAAGAAACTCTCAACTCTGGGAATTATGTTGTCCCACAGGTCCACATCACGCACAATTCTCTCTACAAAGAGGTCATTTTTAGTCCAGACAACAAAGTCGCAGTAGTCAACGTTAACGACGTGGAGCTGAGCCTGTACTTGATGGTAGTAGGCATGTCTCCTGTCCAGCTTCACAGTGCCCCCATTGTTGACGAGACAGAAGCCCTGTTCTCCAGCACACAGGCGAAGATTGGCCTCCTCTTATTTGCTGTGTGGGCACTAAAAGTTCAGTGAAAAGAAAAGCAATATATTGTACTGTAAATAAGTGTCTGCAGCTCAAAATGTATTGGGAGAGGATCCCCAGACTCAGGATCACGTCACAATCCTATACTTACCCGCTTTACTGTAGCACAATGCTGAACAAATAACTTACCTTTATCTCACAGATACCAGTTCCATGGCAGGTGCACGTGACACCTCTGTCTGGCGACGCTCCCATGTATGGCCATTGAGGGTTCAGCCAAAGCCCGCTGTCTTTACAGCTGAAACCCTGGTGGTGCAGACTTTGTACTCCTTCATACTGCTTTCGGCCAGTTGCCTCGTATTTGCATCCATACCTGTAATGTATACAACAAGGAACAGAAATAGAACATTGTACATTATAAAACGGACAAGTCAAATCAAGCAATCTGATTGGTTCTTAGCTGTGATATAATCAGCGTATACCACGGGTAGAATTGCAAGTTACTTTTCACAACAAGTCGGTATCCCTCCGCGTCTGAGAAAAACTGTATACAGCTGCGTTAAAAAGCAAACTGGAACAAGGAAGCAGTGGAGAAGTAACGGGGCAGAAACCCTCCTTTTTACGCAGCGGTCCAGACGCTTCGCGTCGGGCCGAACCACGCCCCTTAGCTGTGATATAATGAACAAATACCACGGCCTGTCGTGAGCTATTGCTTAATTATACCATGGTCTGGGTGAATACTCCATTCTGATTGGCTCCCTAATCCCTAATAAATACCTTGTTGCAGCTGAAGAGAACTTGTGTGCCTCTGGGTAGCATATGGACTTGATCAAGGACTTTGATGGCTGTGCAAGACTAGTCTGTAGAACCTGCTTCAGTCTTGAGGCTGTGATCCTTCCTGCTCTTTGGCTAAACCATATTGGTGATAAGCTCTGGTTTCTGGTCTCCTCCTCTACTGCCTGGACCTGTGGCTGTGTCAGCTCTTCCTGTCTGAAGTCCTGGCATGCATTCTGCAACTCTGTTGGGGATAGCTGTAGCATCTCTGGTGTCCTATACTGAGGTAGTGGTTTAGGTAGCTTGCTCACAGATTTAGGGACAAATTCTTTGTAATATGGTTCCCTGGACATCAGTGCAGCACTTCTTGGGGAATTTCTGCTCAAAGTCTTGAAAAACTGCATATACCTCTCTGATCCTCGCTCCAATTTTTAACCCTGGACTGTGGGACGCTGAAATGTGTGCTTCTCACCTGTCCTTCCAGCAATGGCAACATCCAGTTTTTGCTTTTTGGATTTTGCGGATGAAAAGTCTATCATCGCAACTGGAGCAGCAGGAATCTGCACATGTGAGAGACAGACCAACATGTATGTGAACATACATGTAGGTGCAGTGTAACAATGAGACAGGCAAGGACGGCATGAACAGCTGACTGACCACGGGTCTGAATACCTTTTTGACATGTGATGGCATTAGCCACTTGCACTTCTAAGTGGTGCAGGATGCAGTCTCTCTCATCTTCACACCTGCTTTGATTGCAAACAGAACTGCTCCAACATGTGAGCAGGATTCTGACAAACTGTATAGACAGAGACATACTAGAATAACTAGATTGATCGTAAAAGCTAGTAATGGTATAACATGAATATTATAGCAGGCATTATTTTGTCTGAGCTTAAGTGTTGTGTCAAATATGCTTTGGGTTGGGATATTTATTTTATGACTTACCCAGCCATACAGTTACAGTGTGCTGTAACAACCTCTCCATCTTCTTTAGCTACAATCCACGTTTTTAAAATGGTGTTTCTCCAGACCTCTGGGAATGGTTGACCTACAAAATTGAAGCTCCAGTTAACAACTTGCTAGTTAGTAACATACATTTAACAACATCAAGCCATAGCTAGCTAGTATAGTTAAGTTACGTCCCCAGCTCGTTTCGGGGTAAAAGGGAAGCAACACATAACCAGATGGTCTTGGTAAAGAGGTTGTTTTTTAATATTAACCTCAACATAGAGTGATATAAACAACGTGCAGGCTATTCAAAGGCTCTGAGCTGTCTATACACAACAGTACACAAAAACGAAGGCCACAGAATATCACAGTCACGAATCAGGACACTTAAGACAGAACTGGTGAGACGTTTCGCACAAGTACAACGCCGTCACCAAAACACAATATATCCTAAGCTAAACACATACACTCACATCAATATCCTAAGTACACACACACACCATAAGCACCCGAGTTAACCTCTGTTAACAATATCGTAAGGAAACACACATCATAAGCACCCGAGTTAACCTCTGTTAACAATATCGTAAGGACACACACATAAGCACCAATAACACACAAACATTCTGAGGTATGGTAGCATGGCGTCCTAGCACAGATCCAGCGCCCCGAATGTCAACAACGTCGCAGCTTAAGTAGCGTCATCAAGAGGAACTAAAAAACATCGCCGACGCGGTAACCATAGTACCTACATGTAATCATAACACACATACACATATATATATATGTGTATATATATATATATATATGTGTATTATATATATATATGTGTATATATATATATATATATATATGTGTATGTGTGTTATGATTACATGTAGGTACTATGGTTATATATATATATATATATATATATATATATATATATATATATATATATATATATACACACACACACACAGAACACTCACAGGCCAGTTAATGCTGAAGGCAAGGCGACAGCCGTAACACTGCCTTACATGAGTCCATGTAGCTAAAGTTAGCTAGCTAGATGTCTCCTAATAATGCTACTTAGAGGTAAGAAGGTATAGGTAGTTAACACTCACCCGGGCAAAAACAAGGCGACATTTGTTTAATGCCTTTTTGGTGCCGAGGTCATTCACCCATCCACACACAAAGTAGTTGAAAGCTTCCAGGCTTCCACGCTTTCATTTGGCTAGCCGTGTAGTAGGAGGTATGAAGGACGAGGTAGCTGGTGATATCCATCGCCTCAACAGCGGGCAAATCTGATAAATCACGAGAAAAGTCGCTCTTTTTCAGCTGATACGGATACTGTGATTTTTCACGATATCTGCGGCGTGCAGGTTCATTTAATTGTTTGACATAGTCGGTGTCCTCCATGATTCCTGCGTTGATGAATGATTGCGTTTTCACTTCCTGACCTCCACTTGAATTTCGCGCGTCGTAGAAGTCACGTGACTGAAACCAATATGGCTCTGGACACTCCCATAGACCTCCGTTGTAAAAAATGGCGGCGCCTACTTCCGGGGTATGGACATAGAAATAGTTCCAAATATTGTCATTTGGGCGTTGGATCTCATTCACTTACATTACGGCGCGTCGATTAGTTCCAGAGGTAAGTTTCTGAAATATCGAACTCTTTTGAATTGTCAACTGTCTATATTGTATCAGAGGCCCTTTATGATGCTTATACTGGTCTTCATTTGTATATGCACAGCGTAATTATCTATATTTTATCTTGGTTGTTACAACCAATTTTGCTAGCATTGCCTGCTAGTTAGCTAGCGCGACTTCGTCAGCTTTGAAGTTAAGATTTCAGTAATGAATCGCTCGCAGCTTAAATATCAATGATGCTGGGTAACTAACAAGCAGGATTTAGATTGATTATGTGTTTTTATTGTTATTTTGGTTTTTATCTGCTGAACCTGACCGTGTCAGCCATCCTTAGTCGGCTTTTTCTGTATAATATGACTTAACTGCTAGCACTAGTAGAAATGAGGTGGCGTTTGTGATAAATATTTCATTTAATATTTCATTGAATTTTGGGATATACTAACATTTCATCATGTGACATGTTGACTGTACTTAGTTTTTGTTGGTACTGTTCCGTGTTAACTCATCTGTACTGTACAACTAGCCTAGCGCTACTTTTTAATGCTTGATGGCATGCTAGGATATAGAGAGGCGAAGTCCCTCCCCTTCCGAAAGCCTCCATGGGACCCCGGAAGCGGAAAATTATACATTGAAGTCAATGGAGAGAGAAAGGTTATCTTTTGATCCCGTTTGAATTGTGCCACGAATGACACATATGATGTTTGTCAATTTAAAAGAACATTTTGCAAGTCAAAAAAATAAAAATGTGTCGTAAAACTGTGAAGTTACACATTTTTTCGTGTGAAACCGCTCAGTGAACTACAGGTCTCTCGTCTCGCACAATACGCGTCACCAACATAAAGATGGCCGTCACGTTAGCACATTTCACCACATTCTTTCAGAATGAGAATAAAAGTATTTTACGAGGTGAAAATCACTACAAGTCTGGGCACGTTGAGAGCTGTACCTATATGAAAGGGGAGTTAGTCGGTTCTGTAAGAGCCAGCATGCGGGACCGGCTTTACAAGGTTTCGGTGAGTAATATGAGTGCAATGTGTAACGTTAATGTCAGCTAGCTAACATTAGCTAACAAGGTACACTAACGTGTTTTGTTTTAGCAACTAGTTTTCTCCTTAAGAACTTCGTGGTCTCTGTGTATGCTGTGGATAACATTAGTGTTCACAAGAACAAGGTACACTCCCGTGTTTTGTTTTAGTTGCTCTTCAGATTGAAGCGGCCAGTTTTATATCGACTATACTGTATGTGTGATCTCCTTTTTCTCGTTGTGTCATTTGAGTTTATTTGCTGTGTGTCGATTCAAGGATTTTGGTTATCTAGTCACAGCTGTGTGTGACTCCCTCTGGTACACCGGTATGTGTTTTCCTAATGTAGAGAGCATTGATTAATTAATAAACTACACACTGAGTCTAGATCCTGACCAAATCCTTTTTTATTGTTGATCAAATGTTTTTCAAAAATGTATTCATACACATTTAGAAAAATACAATGTACAATCACAACCAATACAACACAAATTACAAAAAATACAGAAAAAACAAACAATAACAACGGACAAGAGGACAAAACTATGGAAAAATAAACCCTCCCACCCCCAGATCCGGACCATCCTTGTATTATTGCTCATTCAATCTATTATAGCATGCTAACAAATGGTACTTACTTTATTTTTACAGATCTGCATGGGAGACGATGGCGCGATGCAGAGCGCTGTCTGTGATTGTGCACAGGAGATGTACAAATGCAGCCATGCTGCAGCATTGGCAATATTTGCCATGTGGCAGATCAGCTCCACAGATGTTGAGTGCCAGTGGAGGAAGCCTGGCACTTCCAAAGTAGTCCAGCCGGTGTCTCAACTTTACCAACAGCGAGAGGAGACATACAACCCACTGGCCAGAGACATCGCCAACTGTCAACTGGGGGGTTGTAAACGAGGCCGAAGGGGTGAAGGCTTTTGTGGAGGCCTATCAAGTGACAGTGTTCGAATCGAGTCTGGTCTCTTTGTGAGTGAGTCGGGTGTTCTGGGAGCATCACCCGATGGACTTGTGCAGCCATCTGCCCTGCTGGAGGTGAAGTGTCCACACAGCCAGAGGAACATGACCATCATGGAGGCAGTCCAGTTACCATCCTTCTGTCTCCGTGAGGAGGGTGGGTCATATATTCTCAAGGAGAATCACCCATACTGGCACCAGGTCCAAGGGCAGCTGCACATCACAGACCGGAGTCTCTGCTACTTTGTTGTGTGGACCACGAAGGAGGCGATCATCATCCCCATCCCCAAAGACCCTGCATGGCATGGAAATCTCCTCCTCCTGGAACAATTCTACACCCAGCATATGCTCCCTGTGTTGGCCAGTAGAGAGGAGGACATTTCAATAAACATACTCTTAACACCCTCGGACTCTGCGTTGTGTTTCGTATGTGTGATGGGGTGTTATGCAGAGGGGAGGAAAACAGGACACAGCAGATTGGGATTGTGGTGGAGATGCTGAGCAGTTATTTAATTGTTGCATGTAATTATTATTATACTGCGTGCTTCTTAGTTATTCCATCTTTTGCTGTAACATGGATCTGTATGTAACTCTATATTTACTTGTTATCTACCACACTTCCTTCTACATCATACACCATCATTATACATGATGGTGTATATAGGATATATATATTTGTATACATATCTGTAAATTGTATAATTTTATTTAAACGTCTTTTTGATCTCTCAAACTGAGTAAGATTGACAATAAAGTTGACTTTGAAAAATATATATATTCTTTATGAAAATAGTTGACTGTTGTCAAATGAAACGTTGGACT